GTGTCGCTTCGCGTTGAATTTTCGTCGATGTTAAGCCTAACGAAGACTATTGTATCGTTAAAAATTATTTTTTTATTTTGTACAAACAAAATAAATATATTGAAAAATATAAAAACAATAAAAAATTATACTTCAGAAGTTAATTTAGTATCAAAAACATAAAATATTTGAGAAGCCGAAGACACAGTCAAAGATTACAGCGCCACAGCACTGGCAAAAATTTAAATTTGTCGACTGGAATTCCTTTGGATAAACGACACTCTACTGTAATTATTATACTTAATTAATTAAATTTAATAATTATCATGCATAATATAATCTTAGATCATCATTCATATCATGTAACACCACAATGTGCCCATTCAATTCATTTCTGTTGTTCCCTTTCCATTATACAATGCATTATACATGCTGCAATAATATATTTTTTTTTCCTTTTCCAAGTTTAATACCAAATTCCCTGAGATTTCCATGGCTTTTCCCTAATCTGATAAATTCACTGACATTTTTAGATTCTCCAGGTTTCTAAGTCTGTTGGACTTAGAAACCTAAGTTGACCAGGTTTCTAAGTCTGTTGGACTTAGAAACCTGGTCAACTTAGAAATCCTGATCAACAAATTCTACAATGAACTGATCTAAATAATTCATTGCATAAAAGTAATTATTGGGCTTATTGTAAAAGCTGGAAAAAAATTTAGAATTTATGATTATCCTATTTTGTTATCTTAATAATCAATTATAAATTTTATTTTTTTTCATAATTTTTCATAAACACAAATTTTTCTCCAACTTTCCCAACAATCCCAAATCCCAATTTTGTAATTTCTATTTAAACTATTTTAAAATCCAATAAAGAAACAAATATTGATAAGAATATTCATGATGCACAGTTTTTCTTAATTTTAGAAGTGCTTAATTGCAGAAAATTCTAAATCATAAACACACATGTACCAGACTTTGAGGAAAGTAATAATGTCATCTAGTGATAAAAATGGGAATAAGGATGACTTGTGACTGAATGACATAACAGAAAATTAATACAGTAAAAGATAATCTTTTGCAATTTTAACAATTATTTAACAATACAGCCATAAGATATGAGATATTTTGATGCAAGATCCAAAGTATTTAAATCTAATGTTTAATACTTAGAATTGTAAAAAAAACAAACCTAAAACTTTTTGAAATTGTCAATCTCACAATTCTCATTTCATCTTTATTGGTCAACATTAGTGTCTCTTGGTAAAAGTATTTTGCTTCATTTCTATAGGCTAAAAATACAATAGCTAATTCCTCTGTTGTTGATATTGACAAATTGTTAACATTGCTCTAAGGCTGCTTTTTGTTAAGCCAATGGCTTTTGCCATAGAATCTGTCTGCATTAATGAAAATGAGGCTAAGAAAATTAACACGTAAGTCACTTTTAAGAAAATTATGAAACCCGGTTTAGTTATAAAAGGTGCACATTGCAAATATCCTTAATAATTCTCTTATTAGTTTCAGAAATTATTATGGAATTTGAATTTGATATATCCATGAATATCAAAATTAACACAATCTAAGACAAAATTCATGCAATATTACATTAATTCTGTGTTTTGATGTTTGACATTATAAAACTGCATATTTAAAACTCTGTAATTTATTACACACACATCTACATGTATCATAAAATTACTTAAATATTAATATTTTTTAGCATACTTTATACCATTTTCAAGCCACCATCAAGAAAATAAAACAAAATAATACTTGATTTAACATCAAATATTTTTTCCAACATCAAATAGAAATATTCTATTCAATTTTAAGATTAAATGTTTTTCTGATCTATTTCCTTTATGATAGCTGGCATCAAGCACATTAAAAAATATTAGCACTTAAGTAATTCTGTACTTTCTAGACTTCTATATACAGTATAATTAGTTATAGAATTTTTAAACTTATATGTGCAAATTGTAAACAGCATTTATGCTTTTTCAATTACTAAAATCATATTAGTATATCAAAATAACTAAAACTAAACAGGAACTGTCTATACATGTTAATTTGATAAGGCTTGATTAAGGCTTAATTGTTTTTTAATGGGAGTTTTTTATCAGATTTAATTAATTAATCATTCTAAAGTTGTAGTGCACGGATTTGACTTCGGTAAAGTTATTTAAAGCTGCTTTCTGATGTCAAAAACGACCTCCAATAGTTTTTAAATTTTTAAAATTAATATATTTTATTTTATATAAATTTAATTAATTAGGGGGGGTCGGAAATCGCAATAAAAATTTTAATTTTTTAAAAATATTAAAAAATATAGGCCTAGTTAGTATTCACCCACTTTAAACCCTTTGTCCTCCCGAGACGTCTATGAGAATGCCCTGGGAAATCCGACTCCAGCTGTTCTCAAGGTCATCCAGCTGTGTAAACAATGACTCATCCGTGTTAAATTTTGCAGAAAGGCGAGACAAAGGAACTTAAACTTCAAAGCTTTTTCTTCAAAACAGACTCATTTCTTTCGTTTTTTTTCAGTTTTAAGTATTTTTTATGCTTAATTACATTATAATTAAAAACAGGTGGTCGTTAAGAGGTTAATATTTAAAAATGTTAAAGCATTCTTAGAAATATAAGAATTAAAATTATATTTGCATGTGATTTCAATAAAAGTTACAACTTTATTTTCTCCAAACAAACAGAATAATTAAAATCAAACAAACAAACAAAAAAAAAAGAAAACAGTCTCCATTCATTTTTAATTATAAAGATTTAATGTATAATTACCAAAACACTCCAAAACTTAAAAAGTGTGAAATATTCTAGACAATACCTCCTTAACACCTCATTGAATACCATAGCATCTGAGCAGTCAATTAATCTAAGCACCAATGTTTATTTTTAAAAATGTCTGTTGTTATTAGTTTGCTCTGCATTATTTTAAATTACAGCATTTTATTACCTTTGATTATTCTTTTTTTAAATTTTTCAATTATTTACAATTGTTTAATCATTATGTAAAACTAATATTGTTTATATAAACAATTACTATCTAAGTTATTACACCAATGTAGAAAGTATTAGAAACAAAATAAAACATTGAGGTTGCACCTAATATAGACTTTCTAGCATTACATATGAATACATACAAAGTTAAAGTTTTGATAGCCCAAATTAACTAAAATTTAATTTTGATATAATTTAAAGATAAGAGTTAATAGTGAATGTTACCTGTTCAAATTTTTGTAATTTCTTTTCTTCTAATAGCAGATCATACAAAAACAAATCTTTCAATGTATCTAATAACAACAACAATAATAATGTTACTTAATAACAAACAAAAAATCAAATTGTTTTGTCAAATTTATTTGATCCAACTAAATTCTGAAAATTTTGGAATTAACAATATTACAGACTAAATTTTTGACATTTTGAAATTCTTTCTTATTAGATAATAATATTTTGTAATATATCCATTGTAAAGATTTTTAGATTTTACTACAAATATTATAGTGTTTTAAAGATTTTAAACTGTAAAATAGCTGATGCATTAAACAGAAAACATTTTGCTCCAAAAAGTTCAGGTGTTTTAGATAAATCATTGTATTATATAATAAATTATTGAAAGTATATAAAATATATACAGTAGACTCTCGCTACTCCAGTCATTCTTTGCACAGAGGAATGACAGATTACTGAGAGCATACAAACCTAAAGCCTGCCTGGACAATGAATGATGTGACCTATTACTCTTCGACACTGAATCTGTTTGGAGGCAGGCAAGCAAATAATATATAAACAATTACTATCTAAGTTATTACACCAATGTAGAAAGTATTAGAAACAAAATAAAACATTGAGGAAATGCAGTACTATACACAGAAATAAAACTCAAGTAAATAGAAAAATAGGATATGGGACAAACATTTTCAAGAAAATGGAAGTGCATAGGCAATTACACTGGAGGTTATGCCAGATAATTAAGTAGTTTCAACCTTGAAAACACATGACTGTTTGACAAGTGACATTTCACTAACACTTGTCAAAAATAAAGCTTGACAATTAGTTTCATTTGTGTGTTTGTCAATATTCGAAAGATGAGTGAACAAAACATGCATTTTTGACACATTATACTTTTTTATTTTAAAAAAGCAAAAAATGCAGTGCAATCCTGCAATAAAATATGTTAGGGGTACAATAAAGATGCCATGAAAGAACATGTGTGCTAGAAATGATATGTGAAATTTTGTTTCAAAGATTCTTCCATTCAATATATACCACAATCAGGTTGGCCAGTTGAGATCAACAATAATCAAGTAAAAGAATTAGTCAACAGTAATCCATGCCAAATGACAGAGGAGATTACAGATATTCTTCAAATATTGAAATCAAGCAAGCAAAGTCATCTGCATCAACTTTGTTATGTCAGCAAACTTGATGTTTGTGTTCCACATGAAATTAGTGGAGCCAATTGCATTATTCATATTTCCATCTGCAATTCACTCAAAAAACTTCAGGAAAGCAACTTATTTCTGAAGCAAATGGTGACAGAGGATGAAAAATGGATTATTTGCATTAACATCAAGTGCAAAAGATCTTAAGTAAGTGCAGTGAACCACTGAAAATCGTTTCACAAGCAGGACTTTATCCAAACAAAGTCATGCTTTTGATTTGGTGAGAATGGAAGGGTGTTTTGTTTTATGAGCTGCTTCTGAAAAATACAATGATCAATTGCAATGTATACTGTGACCAGCTGAAAAAATTAAACAAAGCAATTCAGAAGCATCCAGAATTAGTGAATTACAATGGCATTATCTTTCACCATAATAACACCCAACAACATGCAGTGTTGCAAACCCAGCAAAAATTGTTAGAGCTTGGTTGAGATGTTCTACCTCATCCTCAATATTCATATTACTTTGCCCCCTACCACTTGTTTCATGCCCTTCAAAGCATTTTAAGTAAACAATGCTTCATTTCTGATGACGACATAAACAACACTTGAAACAGTTTTCAAAAAAAAAAAAAAAAATTTTTGAAAGAGGAATTATGAAGCTGTCTGAAAAATGGCAAAAGGTACTGGATAAAAGCAGTCAATATATTATGAATAAAATTTTTATTTTCTATGAAAAAAATTGTCCTTTATTTTCATCTAAAAAAAATGCACAGACTTATTTGCCAACCCAATATAAAAGGATTTCTGTTCTAGTTTAATATTAAAGTAATGAAATTTTATTATTATTTAACAATTACTGAACAAAAAAATTTTAATTACAATTTCAATAATTCTAGTTTATAAATAAATTTTAATATATATTTATAGAAAATGAAATTTTTAATATTAACTTGTCTTACCCACAGCAATCAAACATTCCTTCTTGCCTTTAGCATTAACCATTAAAATAAGTGAGTCAATACTGGATAAGTTATGAACAGCTGAATCCTGTATTAATAATGTGTGAGCTGATACTTTATCTGCTATTGTTCCATTTTTCAAAACTGTTCGAATCCAACTATAATCACGCTTCATTGATTTTCCTTTTTAAAATTTTATTAAAAACATAATTTTAATTATTAATAATTAAATCACTATATTGCATAAAATAATAAAATTTAGATTTGTTATATCTATATAATCAATTATTTTAAAATTAGTTAAGCTATGATCAATTAATTTGATTGAAATACTTGATTATTACAACCTATATACATTAGTATATCTAGTGATTACACTTTGTACAGCTGTATCTTGTTTTAACACATTTTGCAACATGTTTATTATTTTCTGCATTTACCTTGCTCTTATGGAGATTTTCAAGGATTTTTTAATCTATTATTTTTACTTTTGCGTCATTTTTTAGGCCAACACTATTATACACTTAATAAATTATAACACAGATATGTTTTTAGGATTTTATATGCACTGGAAAGTGAGAAAAAAGGGCTGTACTTTGCTTTAAGAAATTGCTTTACAGCAGTAGTCTGAATCCTAATCCATTGCATTAGTGAATTATGCCTTTATAAACAAAAATATATACACTGAAAAAAAGCTGAGTATTATTCATGATCTTGTTGTATCTATAACTATTCATTCTTTAAAAAAAATGTTTTTGTTTCTTAACATTTTTTTGAAGTGAAAAAGTGCAAAAGATTTAAAAAAAGCATATTAATGATGTAATGATGTTAGCAACATAACAAGTGCAAAACTCAAAACAGTTATAAAGATTATAGAATTTCTGGGACTATACTGCATGACACCAAAATTGCCACTTGGCAATATTTTTAGTAAAATGGCCATAAAAATACCAATTCTGCTTATTTTGACATTCAGTGTGAAATTGAATCATGCTTAAAGAAAAGCAGCAGAATGTCAAGCTCCCATGTGCCATATGCTCATTGATATCATGTCAGAGTCAAATTTGGGATAGAAAAAAGGAAGTAACATAGAGAACCAAAGGCAGCTTTCATGAAAACTACAAGAATGGGGATATTTTTATCGATTGACAAAAAATTTGGGGTATTTTTTGGGAATGACATTTTTTCACTTTAGCCTTTTTTCAGTAGACTAAAGCATAAAAATTTTGATATGACAGGAAATGTGAAATACTGTTCAAGCAGTGTAATCAAATGTATTATTCATAATTTTTCATTAAAAAATTATTCAAAAATAATTCGTATTTCTAAGTGACAGCTTAACATGATACTTTTGCTTTCCAGATTCCAAACCTTAGATAAGGCTATCAGAATCTGCATTAATAAGTAAGTAAAACTTGTGGAAATAATTTGAAGTGAGAAAAAAGGATATATCATTGATATGCATGTCAATGATATATAACATCACCCATTAGTTTAGTTTTCACCTACTATATCTAGGCATGAATAATTTGACATTATTGTTAAATCTACTATAAAAAAATCTAGTATATGTTTTTATTTAAACAATATAAAACTGGCATATTTTTGTTTAACAATTTTAGTATCTTTAGTCTAAACACAACAATGTTAAAACAAACCACAAAAACCTAATTCTGCAAATCAAGAAAATATTTTTTTCCTAAAATTACCTTGACGATATATTGTAATATCCTTATGAAACAAATTTGTAGCAAAAGATTTCAACAGATCAATGTTTGTATCTTTCATTTCTTCAGTTGTAGATTTTGCAGATTCACTGTAAAACTAATTAAAAATATAATAATTAATTTCATTTTTATTTGAACTAATAAGAAAAAAAAAGCAAAAATTATTTCATGATTTTAATGAAATATTATTATATTAATTTAATATTTGATTTAATTTAAACAAAATATTTTTTTCAATCATGTTCCTATTATAGCAACATACAGTAGTTAAAAAAATATATAAATCTTAGTTCCACTTAAACTGATCTTTTGAAGCCATTCTTTTTATCTCTTGAATCTACTGTTTTTAAAAAAATTTTATTTCTTGATATAATATTCCAAAAAATTCATAAGAACATTCAAAACTTCCATATAAGAAAGTCCTTGGTAATTATAATAAAGTATAATGGAAGTTTTGAACATTAACTGTTCTTCTAATAATTAATCTTTTAAATATACAGTGAAATTTCCTTATTATGATCACTTTGGGACTTACAACTTTTGATAACAATGACTGACTGATAATATTAAATGGAGGATAAAAAATTTATTATTATTGAACTCAATTTATTACAAACAATTATAGTATGAAGGTGTACAATTTATATTTAACACATTACTTAGTACATTACACATTTATATATACTACATTTCTTATAAACAACTGTTTGTAACTCAATAAATCACAAAATTAAACTACAGAATTTACAGCAGAAAGGTTCATTCCCAAGGTACATCTCAAATAAAAATCTATATATAAAGACACTAGAATTTCATTTTAACAGATTGTGAAACAATGGATTTCTTGGAATAACAAATTTTTTTCCCCAGACCTGCCAAATCAATGTACTGTACCTGCCAATTTCACTTCTTTTTAGCAATTCTGTAACTCAGAATAACAAATTTTTTCCAGTCCCATCTATTGTAAACTTTGCATTTTTTCAATATTTAGTTAATATTTAGGTTTTTCCAGGAATTTGTATAGTTCAATAATGCACTTGTTACACCTGGGATATATGCTATTGAAGAATTGTATGAAGAGAGTCAGCAAGCTGATAAGATTGAGAAGAAGCCATCTGATAAACATTCTGATGCTGGTCCAAGTGTAGTGCCAAAATTTAGTGTCTTTCCAAGTCGGTCCACCAGTGCCAAGCAGTCTTCATTCCCTGAACACTGGGAGTTTGGGTTGGCCACTTACGGCCGATTGCAGAGACAGAGTTTACATTAAATGACGTTTACATTGGCTCTTACTTACTTCGCTATTACTCCCCTGTTTTAGGAGTCGTTCGGCCAATCGGATTATTTCTTCGTGACGTCAGAAATGGTCGTCAGCTATATTCCGAAAGCTTAAGGCCGTCAAAATCATTGTTCGACAATTAATGACAATCCTTTTCTATTTCGTTATTTAATTTCGTTGCCAATACGATTTAAAATATGAACAAATCCATATTTAGAAAATTTATACCGAATTCGAAATTCGTCTTCGGAATAGATTTTTAAGGAATTATTTCGACATCTTATTACTGTCGAAATGAATAATTTTAAATATTTTATTATTAATATTACATTTTTATATCTATAAACAGATTTCTGTAATTATTAAAATTGTCTCGTTTGTTTAACAGTACAACGACCCCGAAATGCATTAACGTTTNCGGCCGATTGCAGAGACAGAGTTTACATTAAACGACGTTTACATTGGCTCTTACTTACTTCGCTATTACTCCCCTGTTTTAGGAGTCGTTCGGCCAATCGGATTATTTCTTCGTGATGTCAGAAATGGTCGAGTGAGTCTAGAAAATAGGTCAAATAACTTGTTTCTAATCGCTGTCTACAAGACAGCGATTAGAAACAAGTTATTTGACTTATTTTCTAGACTCACTCGACCATTTCTGACGTCACGAAGAAATAATCCGATTGGCCGAACGACTCCTAAAACAGGGGAGTAATAGCGAAGTAAGTAAGAGCCAATGTAAACGTCGTTTAATGTAAACTCTGTCTCTGCAATCGGCCGTTAGAGTTTTCTGGGTTTTCTCCATGTCTGTAATGCCTAAATAGAAGCCAGTTTCCCTTAAAAAGACCTCCCAGAAGGCATCCCCCTAGGCAGATCGCCCAAGTGTTACATTGTCATAACTAAACAAACAAACAAACTTTCCAAGTCATACAGACCTTCTTGACAAGTTTCAGCACAAATAAATACTGTAGGCTGTACATGATATTGGTAATAATATATTCAATAGGCAGAAAAGTGTCAACAAACAAACAAAGATGGATGACTTTTGTAACAAATCATGAAGTCAATTAAACTGCTAATGAGCATGCATAATTTGTCTGTTTTTGTGCTTACAGTATATACAATTTCCATTAGATATGTCATAAACATGTATGACATAATATACAATCTTGTAACATAAGTGTTTTATAGAATAAAGAATAAGAGACTGAATAATTTCAAGTACTGGCAGTTCTTATATGTAGAGGTTAAAAATAGAAATTTTTTTGAATAATGGATATTTTCCTGGGTGTATGGAAAATCCATTGTTCGCAATATAACAAATTCTTAGAACAACAGATAATTTTTGGTAGACTGAGTAATCCATTAAAATGAGATTCCACTGTAATTTCTAAGAATTCTTGTCATGCCCTTATAACATGTTAAAGATAAAAGGTATATCTTGGTTTAAAATAAGTTTTAAAGAAAAGTTCCTTTAGAATGAATTTTCTCAAAATTCTTATCATTTGTTCTTAAAGGTAATTATGACAATTGATAATAATAGCTATTGCCTATTACATGTTAATACTTTGCCTATTACAATCAAAGTTTGATTGTAATAGGCAAAGTATTTTTAACTACATTTATATACAGTGTTTTCAGACTGATTGATTGTGATAACAATAGCTGATTGATAACATTATCTGCAATTAAAATCAATGTTTCCTCTATTTTTTTTGTAGATGAGCAGAACATATACTTCTCTGAGCAAAAAAAAATTTTGCTGAGCAGATTCTGAACAAAAAATTTTTCTGAGCATATAAAATCTTATTTTTTCCTATAAAAATTAAAATAATTAATTATAAAGTAGAGATTAAAATTCATTTTAAAACATACTTTTATACAAAATATTATCTTTTGTCAATGATTTAATGTATTTAATTGAAATATACGCAGCAATAATCATGTTGCAGACAGAGTGAGAAATAAGTAAACAACAATTCAAATTGGTGTGCATGCTCGCCTGCGCGGCACACAAATTCTTGTGCATGGCAACAATTTGAGCAGTGCACGGCCGTGCAGCTTAGAGGGAACATTGATTATAATAACCAGATTCCACTGTATTTTAAATTAAATAATTAGAGATGAATCAAGTATATACATCCAAACTGATTCAATCCTTAAAGATACAAAACAATATAACCTTACTTAAATCAGTAAAACAACAATATTTTAATAAACCAGCTAATGTTCTCAGCCATCTTCAACAGTCATCATCATGCTGTTATACAGGATCAAATGTTTCTAAAGATTAAAATGGTACTTGAAACATTGAATGTATAGGTAGTGAACAAATTTAAAATCCAAGCAATGTGTTATGATTGGTCATACTGTATTTTCGCAGGACGACCAGCATGCCGGTCTATCCGAAGATACCAGAAAATCAGATATTTCCACATGGTAAAAACTGGCATGCTGGCTTATCCTGGTGAATGCTGGCATGCCAATTTAAGTGAGGTTATAGATCCCTCTCTAAAGGGTGCATTTAAAAAAAAAAAACAAAGAAGTTATGTCACATAAAAACAAACAAGTTTTTATTCTAAAACCGTGAAACTGTCAGCTTTACATTAAAAACTATGATTATATGTTTAATTTCTTCATTTTGTCTTCTTTCTAACGACATAATTGGAATTCTGAAAGTGCTTTTTTTATGTTTATTTTATTGTAATTTGATTCAAAAACACAAAAATAAGCATCATAAATTTAAGAAACTCCTGTAAATTAGGGAGTATGTTTGACTGCCAAGGCTGCGGGTGACTTTTTTGTGTACTTTCCACTTGCACAAAAATTTAAGTCTAAACTATTTCTGATTAAAATGTAATTAATACAAGTTCAAATTAATATTATTTTAGTGAAAATTAATAATAATAAAAATGCAATGTTCACCTGTGAAGCGTAAAAGACCTCCTCTGACTCGAACTAGGACAGAGAAAAAACAGAATCAACCAACTACACCAAACTTCAAACTCATCATGGACTATGAAATACACTCAAAGAAAGATCTACAAGAAGAAGCAATAGAGTCAATGAATTATAACTCGAACTTACTTCAACAAAGTTCTCAGTGCTCTACAAGTGAGTCAACTAATATTAACTCAATACCACTAAATAACTCGGACAGCCAATTAGACACTACAACTGCAATTATATGGAATAAAATATCCACTTCAATAAATACTTCAAACAACAAACTGTTCAACCAAATGACATTTATAAAAGAAGACTTAGAACGAAGACTGTGGAATCGGAGTCAGAGTCATCAAAAAATCTGCCGACTCCGACTCCTTTTTACTTCCCAACTTGTTATGTATATACAACGGAAAAGTATTGAAATCGTGTCAAATTTGACCCTCCATGTTTCTTTTGCAAATCTACATGTATGGAGACCTCCCAAACCCCCAAAAAAGTCAATAAAAGAAGAAAAATTCACACGCATGTGTATGTTGGCGTCTAATTTGTTTAATTTCTTTATTTCCTGTTCTGAGACATTAAACAATATCTCAGAAATGAAACGTGGCACTGTAGCTGAAGTATAAAGAGGCATTAATACTATTAAATTTTGGTTCTTAATTAAAGGTCGACAGGGTGAAGACATAAAAGAGGTCATGTGTCATATGTCTTAATGAATATTTTACTCATTATTAGCATTCAAAATTTAAAAAATAAAAAGTAAAACTCATCTCTACCCTCAAAGTAAGCTTTTTTGTCATTTTATAATAGTACAGTAAAACCCGTTAAGATATTCTCGCCTACAATGTTAGAATGTGTATGGGGACATGATTTAGTTCAACCACTCTGACGCTTAATAACTAACTCCTGTGTTAAATCATCTGACTCCAATTCTAACCACTCTGACCACAGAAATTATTAGGCTTCAAACAGGGTGAACAAAATCATGCCCCCACACACAGTCTAACATCCATACATATAGAAAAAAAACTCGAATCTTTTGCATATCTCAAAATTTCAATGTGTCCTGAGTCCAAAAATGTAAAAATTTGGGAGGGGTCATTTTTTTGACCGAGCGTTACACTTTCCCTCTGTTATATATAACAGCCAGAAAAGTAAAAATTATCGAATACATATTTATATATTGACTGTGTCATTACTTAGAGCAGTCTTTTAGCTTTGGAATAAAAAGTTTCTATGTTCTATCTTTATTAGAACTCTATTTATTGAACCTTTTATTCTGAGGTCACATGAAGACATCAGAATTTCCGGGTCTCTTTCGGTAACAAGTCTGCCCCCAGTCAGAGTTGGAGTCGGATGGTAAGGAAAAGTCAGAGTTGGAGTCAGTAGATTTTTATGCGACTCCACAGCCCTGCTTAGAACTAATACATCAAAACTTATGAGAGACCAAGGAACAACAAATAAAAATGAAAGAAGAAATTATTAACTTAAAACAACAAGTTAATAAACTACAAAACGACAATGAACTTATGCAATTTAAAATGGACTCCCTAACTAATGATTATAACTATAAGAATATAATTTTATATAATTATCCAAACTCAAAATCCATTTCCAAGTTAGAAATTTACAACTTTATTACCAACAAAATAAAATAAAATAAAATAACTTACTGGAATATAAATACTTAAAAATACTGAACTGAAGAAGACTATTAAATATAGTCGAAAACGTTTTTATTTTTATTAAATACCAATTCAATATCTCGATCCAAAAGAATTGATATTAAAACTCAAAACTATAAACAAGCCAGGATACGCCACAGTATGGGATTTTAGATCATTATACCCCTCAATAAAAATACAACCTTGTTTTTGTGCACTAAGAGATTTCCTCATAGAAAAAGTAAATGATACTAATCTGCACCAAGATATACTGGAATTGGCCCATCTAGCCTGTTACAGTTTGGTATTCCAGTTCAAAGGAAACACATATGCATAAGAGAGAGGAGTACCCATGGAAATCCATTATCTAGGGACTTGTGCAAAATGGTAATTAGGGCATTAGAAACCAAAACACTACCACTCTTTCTCTCAAATATAATCATATATGGTAGGTATATAGATGACATTATAATTTTCTGGAAAACACCACCAGATCTAAGACAATTTAAGACAGCCATGAACAACAACCCTTATGGCCTTTATTTGGAATTAGAGCAGCATAGTGAAGAAAAAATCCACTTCTTGGATATAGAAATTGAAATTAAAGGAAGAACAATACAAACAAAAGTTTATAGAAAACCCACAACTATACCATCGTACATACCCATCAATTCCTGTGACCCGTACTCTTACAAAATAGCGGCATTCAGGACTTTGGTAGAAAGGGCCTATTCCCACTCTTCCACAACCTACGCTCTACAACAAGAATTAGCGTATATTAGAGATGTCGCTAAAGACCACGGTTATGGCAACATAATAAACAAATTATGTAATCAGCACCTTCACATAAACAGTAAAACAGATGAAGAAAAGACATCAGGAGCAGTTGATAAAGAACATATGGAAAGGGTCCCAGTAACGTACAACCCACAAATGAAAACGATATATAATTCAATTGCAAAGAAAAAAGGAATTAGAATTACATACAGAAGAAACCCTTCCATATATAATTTATTAAGAAACGGAAAAGACGCCCATAACCCGAACAGGCTACCGGGAATATACACCATTCCCTTAATGGACGATAGATGGCAAAGGCAACTAATTTACATAGGGTCCACTAAACGTTTGTTAGCTACTAGAATAAAGGAACATAAAGCAGACATCACCCACAACAAATATACGACAGCATTGTCGACATATGCAACAAACCCAGACATAACCCCGATTTTTAATGAGGCACGGGTCATCCACACCACTCGTCATCATGAACATCTAAGAACTTTGGAAGCGATGGAAATTTACAAAGCAGATCGCAAACTAACCTGCATCAATCTTAAAGAAGAAATGAATCTCTCAACAGCGTGGCAGTATTTATTGGATGATGAATTGTAATTTATTATACGATACTCCAGATTATTATGGGATGCGCACATCGTATATCCACTAGTTAAAATTATTTTTAGAAACGGCACGTGATTATAAAATACGCGAGATTATTATAAGATGCGCACAACATATCTCCACGAATATAAATTATAAAGAAATTATAATTCGGAAAGGCACGTGATTACCTTCCTTATTTGAACTTCTAGTAACAGAGCACGTTCTTATTTAAAAATATTCGATTTAAGAATCCAGTATAATAAATTTGGCCTGAAGAAGAGCCCAGAAGAGGCATCAAAAGCATTTGCGAATATTAGTTTGGAATTTTCACACCGGATATTGGTTAAAGAGTACACATATTTGTTGTATATGACCCGGTGTGGGAGAAATCCTTAATTTATAGATCTACAATTTTTTCAAATTCCATCCCAATTAGTATAAGAAACACTTTAATTAATACAAATTAAATTTATTAGAATTATATAAGTATACATATATTATCTAGTCTAAATTAGATGATATAAATTCAACACTTACTTTATATTCAAACCATTTAGATCCAGGTTTTATTAATAATGAATTCTGCAGTGTCTCATCAGTTAAAATATTTGATTCAACATCAGAAACAGTACTGCTAATCTCATTATCTTGAATCATTATTTTTCTCTTCTGTTTTGTTTTAATTTTATTAATTTTTTCAATATTTTTTTCTTCTGTTGGATTTTTAATTTTTATGGATTTTTTCCTTTTAATTTTCTTTGGTACTTTTGATGATTTGACTTTCTCCATTTCATTACTAATAGGAAAAAATATTTCATTTTAACCATTTTAATAAGTCATTTTAATTTGAATCCATTTTTATTTCAAATTACAGTCAAACCTCAGTTTTCAAATTTAATTCATTTCTAAAAATTGTTTGAAAACTGATTTGTTCTAAACCCGAAACAATATAAAATTGACTAATACATTCCTAACCCCCAAAACAAAGCCACCCCTTTTTTAACCTTTTTTTAGCTATATTTCATGCATAAAAATGCAATATAATATTATCTATATCTCTATCTATTCTAAATATATATATACAGTAATACCCCGAACTTACGCGATAGGTGGGGCCGAGCAGTAACCGCGTAAGTCGAATTCGCATAAGTTGGGGTATAATTTCGCATATAAATACATACAAATAATTTTTAATTGGGGCCGGAGACTAAAGAAAACAATAATTTAGAAAAAAATGTTTAATAAAATCTTAGATAATTCATATGTATAACAAATTATACCTATATTATTTTACAATTTTTCACATTTACTTGATTATTACGCCATAATTTTAACATTGTTTCCATCTCAGCGATAATACTGTGACGTTTACGAATGATGCTTGAATTTAAAGATTGAGCATTTTTCACAGCTTCGAGAATTTTTTCTTTGCCTTTTATAATTGTTCTGACCGACAATTCCGGTAGATCAAACTTCTTTGCCAATTCACAAATTTTCATTTTTGTATCGAAGTCTTTAATAATGGGTACGTTCGTAAAGTCAAACGAGTTAAACGCGTTAGTAACGAATCGTTCGAAAAGTCTAACGAAATAGGAATAACGATGACGTCATTCTCGTTTAACTCGTTCGACTTTACGAACATACCCAATGTTAACTTTACATTCCAAAGATAAAGTTTTTCTTTTCTTGTTTGATGCAGAAGAATTAGTTCTACTTCGTTTGGATGACATAGTAGAGTCTCTCAAGTCGCCATAGATATAACAAACACAGAAATAAATAACACAAAATAAATTGTAGCTATGTGTCGATTCCGTGCGACACATCCAAACATGTAAGCTGAACAATAGTGTGGGGGAGTGAGTAATCAAGGGTTGCGTGGCGCTCAAACAAAAGACGAATCAACGAGATTTGAAAATCGTGTAACTCCGGGTTCGCGTAAGTCAGGGTAGCATAAGTCGAGGTATTACTGTATATATTATAAGCAAAATGTCCCATCACCACCAACTGAAACTAAAACCAATACTTTACAAAGTGCTATAAATAGTCAACTATGACTACCTGGATGAAATATAACCAAATCAATCAAAATGACAACAAGTACTTTATCCAAACTTTCCAAAATATTGTTTTAATTGATTTGATTTTAATTTTAATTAACTAATTAATTTAGATTTTACTTTAATTTTATTATTAGTTTTGATGTCAAATCTGGAGTTTAAATTATTATTTTATTATTTTTAGTTTTAACTAATTGGCTATCTAGTATTATTAAGTATCAAATATTAATATTATAATAGATAATATATTAATAAGTTTTTGTTATTTAATTTGACTTAAGCACCTTTAAATTCTTGAATGCCATTTTTATAAAGTAAATGTCAATTAATGCAATTTTTATTAATTAATTTTATTTAGATTCAACTGCGATGCCTACCAAAAAAAACAAATAGTATTTTTCCTGCATGTGCATTGAAACCTGATTTAAATAGCTATGTCATCAATGATTTAGGACTACAGCACTACTAACTTCAGAATTGGTAGTCCTGTTGGTGATTGGTCAGGCCATCAACTTTCTTTCACATAGGAAGTATAGGGAGTTGACCATCAGTGTATCTCTAATCTGTGGCTGGTTCTTGCCAAGTAGCTTGTTCAGCAACAGATTTATCACATGGCAAATGGGGGCAAATACGAGTTTAAAATTTTGTTCATGAACTGAATTGTTTGAAAAGTGAGGCATTCAAAACCTGAGATTTGATTGTAATTTGTATATTAGCAATTTCTTATTAATTAACTACTAGGTTTTAATCTAGAATTTTTGCAGATATCTCATAATATAATAATTATTGCAAACAATTATAAACTGCTTTTAAAATAATTTAATCTTCAGATCATTTCTGTTTTTAATTTCCTTATTTTAATTTTCTGTAGTTCTTTCAACATTAACCTTTTGATTTAAAATTTAATTAATTTTTAAAATTTCTTTAAATAAAGAAATAATTTCAATTGAAATAAAAAAACTTTTCTGTTTTGTTACAGATTACATTAGTACAAAGATCTTACATATAAAGAAATATAGTCAACTCAATCGCAAAACTGAAACCGTAGTACACAGGGTTTAAGCTGTCGCTAGTTTTTTCGCTAAGATACCACAAGAGTTTGGATTTAGTGCAACTTGGCACATTTCTTGCACATTTTGCTAAAAACCTAATGTTTTCCAAGTGGTTAACACATCTTAAAATTGTTAGTTTTTAAGATGTTTTAACTAGTGATGGGAAAATACCAAAATTTCTCTCAATTCTGATTCTTTTGAATACTTTCTAAAGTTTATTTCAGTTTAAAAAAAATAAACAATTTACACTGCAAGAACAGTACTTTCATTAATTAATAAACATTGAGCTTAAGAATGGAAAATGATTGGAAAATCCAGAATCAATCTTTCAAAAAAAAAAAACCAAAAATTCTTCATTTATATGTACACATGCTTTTATTGTGTAGTAGAAAATAAATTTGTAATCTTATTGCAGATACATTTAATATTGCAACACTACTACTAAACAAATTACAGCTAATTTCCTTTTACTTGAAAAAAAAAACTATCCCATTGTGTCATCTAAGGTTGTCTTCTTTGAAAACTGTTTCGTTGGCCAACACAATGACTGGGGGAGGGTAATGAGAAGATGCACTTCTTTTTTAATGCTTCTCACAATCAGCATGCCTCGTAAGTGCATTATTCCGTCATACTTAACACTAAATGAGGTTTGGCAAATGATGCAATGAGTTGAATGAATATCATCATCACCACGAATTAACCAAGTTTTGAATTCATTCACTCAAGCCATATTTTCCTAAATTTACAATTACATGTACTTATTCAAGGAAAAAAGAATGAAATGAATGCCTAGACTGATTCATCTTAAAAAATCAACTTTTAAAACTCAAAACAACAGTAAATTTAGTGCGAAAAATTATTTTTACTTAAAATTGCATGAAACACATTTGAAAATTTAACATATTACATCATCTTTTAAGAATTATAACAAAAACTTTAATTGTTAGTTATAACGAGAAAGTCGTTTTATCATTACAAAACGCTTCTGTATAGGCTGAAACTAATTTAGCCTAAACAACACCTTATATACTTTTTACAGCAACACTTTAATTTCTATAAAATAATGTTTTTGACCCTTTTCACAGGTCTGCATCAGGTTTAACAAAAAGATTTGAACTGTCTTCTTAAACAGTGCAAATCTTCTTGTTAAACTTGATGCAGACCTGTGAAAAAGGTCGAAAATATTTGTTTAAACAAATGAAAGTGTTGCTGAAAAAGTACTTAAGGAGTTGTTCAAGTGTTTTATCATTATAAGTGAACATACTAAATATTAAAAATAATTTTATCTAATATTTTTTCAATTAAAATACAATTTAGTTTATATTTTAAACTGTTTTGCAAAAACAAATATTTTTGTTGACTGCTGGCCTCGATTAAAATTGCCAGCCAAACCTATCCAATACCGGTCAGGTGGCAACCCTAATGTCACCCTATATATCCTAAAATTGGAAGTACCAATCAAGTGCAATGCAATCTCTCGTGCTGACTGCACAAAAGAGAAGTCCACTTTGACAGACATCACGTCATGTATGGACATTATGTCTTCTCTGCTTTGTAGACATGAAAGTTTCCAATAAACAAATACTTGATTGTGTTTTTGTGAATACTTAATTGTGTCAGAAATTTTGCTTTTAAAATTACAATATTAATATTGTAATTTTTAAAAAATTTCTGATGGAGTGGGATTTGTTTAAAAGTTTTGTTGCTTCAGATGTAAGGATATGTCATAGGCTAAAGTTTATAAAATAATAGTTGTAAATGACCTCTCAGATTACTCTCATATATCAACAGTTATTGAATTTGTTCTTTCACACCCAGTCAAAGGTTTCTGTAAGATGACATTAACAAAAACTCCAATTGGATACTGTCTTGATGTAAAATATGTCTTATTGTTAAACATCTTCATAAATGATCCCCAATATGGGAATTTGATTTTCAATCAGCATTTGTTGCCTGGTGTGAATCAAAACCAAGAAGAATTGTTCAATTATGTATGATACTTGTGGATTGTAACAATAGATTTATAGTTATATTGGTAGTGCAGTATACTGTAATAATGTACAGTATCAAAGAATAAACAAATATTTATTTAATAATTGGGCTGCTATTTAAAAAAATTGTAGACCTGTAAATTCCCACTGTCATCCATTCATTTGTCCGTCTTTCCTTAATCTCAAGAACAGAGTTAGATAAAATCCAAGACCAGGTATGGAAACCTTAGTAGCAGGAGGCCCTGATTAACTATACACAAACTTCTGATACAAACTGAAATTTGTTATTTCAATTCAAAACTTTACCTCTGAAAGCAGTTAACAGATGACTGGCACGACTTTATTGTTAAAGGAAAAGTATAATGTATAGGGGCAAGACACTACAGTACTAATTTGAGGTGGAGAGCATATATTATAAACTAAATAAATTAAAAATATGATTAAAAATTGCAGCCTGACATGACTTTGTGACGATGTCACAATAAATAATTGCTGGTTTATTGTGTATTGTTCTGAGCAGCCTCATGAATGAGAAATGTTAGCTACAGTTTCTAAAATTTTGCTACAACTTTTTAGTAAAATTAGCTAAAACACTACAGAAAATTTTTTTTCAGCTTAAACCCTGCTTATGCTCACAAATACTATTGTGAACTAATTATAATTTATGAGGAAACTAGATAAAACACACAAGAAGCA